CGCGCGTGCCACTCTCCGCTATTGATACTTGGGATTTCAGGTCTACATCACAACTCCATGGCTGGCAGTTTAAGGGGGGCCTAGAGCAATCTTTTGGACATGTGTTTATGGTGCTAGAATCTATGCTATTTCAGCGCACAGGTTCAGGTAGTTGCTAGATGTCAAGAGTTCCGCAACTGTCGGTAACCACAGCAGTTTATCACTGACACAAGTTCACAGACCCACGTGTTTCTGTCTCCCTGTGAATTTATATATATATATTTTACAATGACCACTAACACTTTGAAAGAAGTGGTATGCCAGGTCCACGGATCATTTGTGATTAGTACAATTCTGTGCAGACCGTAGTGCTAGCAGTTAAGTGTGTTCTCTTGTGGTTACTCACAATTAACGTACTCCAGTAACCAGGAATCTGGGTCATGTTGTTCTGCTGGAGCTAACTAACATGATGATGAGAACTCCTTGCATGTCAACAGTAGTCCGATCATATATGGAGTCTGAATTGTGCAAATTCAAATGATGTAACTATTTAAGAGTTGTGTGCTACTCCCTTAGTTCCAAATACTCGGTTTAATATTTTGGGCTCTGCTTTTTATTCTTGAAAATGTCCGTGTAGTCCAGGTTGACCTCTTATTACGATTTCAAAACTAATGAATACCAAATTGTTACTATACAGAACCTTTTCATTACAAAGGTTTTTTTTTTTTTTTTTTAAATCCTTCAGCCTCTTAGGCTTTTTGGGTGCTTTGAGATTTTTCGCAGGTGATCTGGTAACTTATGCGGCTATTTTAAATCGTGCTATTTTTAAAATTCTGTTTTTTTTTTATTTTTTACTTTTTAGCGATTCTGGAATCGGGCTCGGGGTCTTGCACATACTTGGCAAGCACTCTTCCCGTTGAGCTCTGTTCCAAGCCCAGGCCAAGAAAAACGACAGTCTTGTTTTCCGAGAGCAGTCGTGCCCTTTACTTATTATTTTGCTCTTTGCCTTCTGAACGTTATTAATTACTATTTTGGAGGAAGACCTGCCGGCATAGAAACTGCCTGCTCTGCTCAGCCTACGTTTCCGGATCGAACCCGACCCCGGGGGTTTTGAGCAGACGCAGAAGGAGCGACAACCCCGGCGGAAGGACTCATCCTGCCTTCCCGCGTCCAAGCCGGGAAGAGGAGAGGGCTGGGACACGCATGCGCTCTCCGAAGTGCGCGTAGTTCCGTCCCTCCCGTTTTCCTAAAAGTCACGGGGGGGGGGGGGATGAGGCCGAGTCGCTTTCTCCGTGTTTTTACTCGCCGTGCCCGCGGGTGCGGGGCTCGTCTGGCTGCGTTTTAATCTGCGCGTTCTGCTGGGCAGTTCTGCGCGGCCAGCTGGTCGCCATCACTTCCGCCGCGTTCCCCAGCGCCACGTGGCTCCGCTCCTGTCGTCAGAACCCGGCTGTCACTGAGCGGCTCCTCCGCGGGGCCGCACGCGCCTCCACCGGCGTCTGGCGCGCGGCCGAGTGTGCGCACGCGCGGCGCTGTAAACACCGTCGGCGGGAGGGCGCAGGTCGCCCCCTGGCGCGCGGCGCGGGGACGCCAGGCCTTGCCCGTGCGCACGCGCAGTGCGAGGCCCGCCGGAGCGCGGGAGCGCCGTTTGGCGCCTTAGGGAGAGGGCGCGCCGGGCGAGCCGGGCCACGAGCAGCCCTGGGCCGCGCCCTCAGGGCTCTCGGGGAGCCGCACGGGGCCCGAACGGTGCGCGCCGCGTCACTTGCCTCCGCCGTGGGGACCCCTCTACCCTGAGGAGCTCGTACTCTTGGGTTGGTGGTGTTTCTGGGCATCTGCGTCATACTTTATAAATGGAGGGCGCCGGGCCTGGGGCGAGCTACGCAGCCTGGCGGATGGAGCAGGAGGCCGGAAGTGCCTAGAGCGGGCGCCCGGAAGTGATCCAGTCAAGTTTCTAGTGCGGTAAACGCGATCCCGGTTCCGAAGGCCGTCAGAGGAGATGGGAGGATGCGTAAATGCGAGACCGCAAGGGTTCTGTGGAGAAGCCACGTCCCTTCACACTGCAGCCCCAAAACTCGCTTCAAAGAGGGAGTGTGTTCTGGAGTTACATTTGCGAGACTGGCGTGGCCCGGGATGACAGATTCAGATCACCCCAAATTCCACGTTTAGTAACAATTTGATGGTGTTTTAAATAACAGAACAAAGTTATAAATCAAGAGACACTTTTCAAATGCTTTGAATCTAACGAATTCACTCCACACGTGGAGCCATGGCTTACAACTTGCGCGCGCGCGCGCGCACACACACACAGACACACAGACAGCACGCACGCACACGCTGCTCTTGCTCCTTAGTAACCTTAGCCTCCTCTTCAGTGCGTGCTGGGGATATAAAATTGGTCCTCACCTTGGTGTAACAAGTACTTTACCTGTTGAACCGGCTCCTATGCACATTAAACAATAATGTTTGTGATTGTTTGGTTCTTTTGGTGCCATTTCAATGAAAAAAAAAAAAAAAACTTTTGAAGAACCTGCCTGCCTTCATCTTAGGTTTTAAGGCATCCTGTAATCCCCAGCACTCGGAGGCAGAGGCAGGCTGACCTCAGAACTGGAGGACAGCCTTAGGCACAGAGGAAAACAAAGCCATCTTTAGTAAAAACAAACTAGGTTCATTGCTGTTTATGATTAAACCTTTGTTTTTTGGGGATTAGGCGCCTGCTTTAGGAATGGCTATCATGTCTTTGTTTCAAAAAGTCGTTTATGACAATCTTGCAACATGACCTTTGTTTCAAAAGGTTATATGACCACCTTGTGATGTCTACCTTGGAACAGTGTACTAACTTATTACATTTACAGTCTGTTCTTGTAACCCCTATTTTGCCCAACAAATCTCCCATTTAGAAACCCCTTACCTCTGAAAGACTCTACCCAGCAGTGTATCAAAGCAGATGCTTAGAATCTTAACCAAACTTTGGACAGAGTGCAGGGAATCCTGTGAAAGAAGGGGGAGATAGTAGGGCCTGGAGAGGATAGGAGCTCCACAAGGAGAACAACAGAACTAAAATATAAGGGCACAAGGGTCTTTTCTGAGACTGATACTCCAGCCAAGGACCATTCATGGATATAACCTAGAACCCCTGCTCAAATGTAGCCCATGACAGCTCAGTGTCCAAGTGGGTACCCTAGTAAGGGGAACAGGACTGTTTCTGACATGAACTCAGTAGTGGGCTCTTTGACACCCCCCCCCCCAAGGGGGAGCAGTCTTGCCAGGCCATAGAGGAGGACATTGTGGCCAGTCCTGATAAGACCTGATAAGCTAGGATCAGATGGAAGGGGAGGAGGACCTCCCGTATCAGTGGAGTTGGAGAGGGGAATGGGAGATGAGAGAGGAGGGTGGTATTGGGAGAGAATGAGGAAGGGGGCTACAGTTGGGATACAAAGTGAATAAACTGTAATTAATATAAAAAACATAAATTAAAAAAAAAAAGAAATCCCTTACCCATGAGCTATAAAAACTTTGTTCCTCATATCCAATGCTGACCTCTCAAATACTACCTTGGGGGGATGCATCCGTGTACACAAATAAAAACATTTGCTTTAATTAATTTAGCCAAGATAATTTGAGTAAGTGGCCTTTCTCATCCCATCTTTGGGATTAACACCTTCCCACTAGAATTGCTGGGGGGTTCTGCTAACACTTGTGTGTATCTTCTTTATTCTCAGTTGTATTGCAAGTGTCTAGCTAGCCCTGTGCCCATCCCACATACTCTTAACCATTAAAAGAGTACATATATGGGCTGGAAATGTTGGCTCAGAGCTTAAGAGCGCTGGCTGCTCTTCCGAAGGTCATGAGTTCAATTCCCAGCAACCACATGGTGGCTCACAATCATCTAAAATGAAATCTGGTGCCCTCTTCTGGCTTGCAGGTGTACATGCAAACACACATTGTATACATAATAAATAAATAAAGTCTGAAGCTGTGGATACATTTTAAAAAAGAAAGAAAGAAAAAAAAAGAGTACTTATAAGCACAGGCCTTTAATCCCAGCACTCTGAAGGCTGGTGCAGAAGATCTCTGAGATTGAGACCAGCCTGATGTACATAGTGAGTTCCAGGACTATACAATGAAATCCTGTCTCAAAACAAACAAATGTGCATTTCTGTAGGTATTAGTTCTTTGCCTTTATTCTTTAAGATAGCCTTGACTGCTGGGCTCAGTGGCACATGCTATCCCAGCACTTGGGGAGGCAAAGGCAAGGATATCTCTGAGTTCAAGGTAAGTCTGGTCTACAGAGTGAATTCAGGATAGCCAAGGCTACTCAGAGAAAACCTGTCTCGGAAAAAATAAAAAAAAGATTGCCTTGATGACTTAATCTTGTTTTGTTGTAAACTTTGTAATTGTCAATTCTGTCCTTATCTTTACCCTTAAAAGTGATGGAATTTAGTATAGCTTTAGATTGACTTAGAATAGTGGTCACATTAATATTAACTTCACCATTTATGAACAAAGCATTTTTCTCAATTAGTCTTTTTTTTTTTTAATTTTTAATTTTGGCTATTCGGGAGCACACTACGTAGACAGGGCTGCCTTGAACTCAGAGACATCCTCCTTCCTCTGCCTCCCGAATCCCGGGATCAAAGGCATGTGCCACCATGTACTGCACTTATTCTAATTTAATTTTCCTCAGAAATTTTGATTACCTTCTATGGTGATTTTTCTTGTTTTGACATACAAAAATTATTTGTATTTGAGTATTACCAGCATGTAGAAATGTTCGTAGTTGTTGTATATTGACCTTGTATCTGGGGACCTTACCATTTATTAGTTCTGATATCTTATGTGCAGATTATCTTAGATTTTTATTTTTTTTAATTTATTTATTTTATGTGTATGAGTGTTTTGCCATTCTTCTGGAACTGGAGTCACCATGTGGGTACTGGGAACGGAATCTGAGTTCTCTGCCAGAACTAGGGTCTTAACTACTAAGCCATTTCACCAGCCCCTAGGTTTTGTTGTTGTTTTTTTTGGTTTTTGTTTTCTGTGTAATAGAGCCTTGGCTGTACTAGCTTTGCTTTGTAGACCAGGCTGGCCTTGAACTCAGAGAGATCTGCCTGCCTCTGCTTCCTGAGTGCTGGAATCAAAGGTGTGTATTTTTTGAGATAGGATGTTGTTATGTAAATTCGAGGAGGTTAAGTAAAGAAACTATCAACATGACCACTCCATTAGGGATAAGGTTTTTATTGTGGGCAAGAGAGAGAAAATATCCAGAGATATCTGGACGTGTGCACAGCTGAGAGAAAGGAGACTGGACATGGCCAGGGCTAGGGAAGCAGGAGAGAACAGTGGAAATAGTAAGAGACACGTTGGGATGGGCAAATTATGTGGATTATGAGGATGACAAATAGTTGGGAGAGGGACTCCTTTTGGGGATTGAAAACCCTTAAGTTCCCTGATGGATTTTGGCTTTTTTGTTCTGTTCGTTTTTCTTTTCCTTTTTGTTTTCGAGACAGGGTTTCTTTGTGTAGCCCTGAACTAAGTGCTGGGATTAAAGGTATGTGCCATCACACCCGGTTCAATTTCTTTTCCTTTTTTTTTTTTTTAAGATTTATTTATTTATTATGTGTGCAGCATTCTTCCTGCATGTATACCTGCATGCCAGAAGAGGGCACCAGATTTCATTATAGATAGTCGTGAGCTACCATGTGGTTGCTGGGAATTGAACTCAGGACCTCTGGACAAGCAGCCAGTGCTCTTAATCTCTGAGCCACCTCTCCAACCACCCCCCTTTGCTCTCTCTCCCTCTCCTCTCACTCTTTCTCTCCCCCCGACCCCGTGTGTGTGTGTGTGTGTGTGTGTGTGTGTGTGTGTGTGTGTATGTGTTCTCAGAGGAAACCTTGTGCCTTGTGGAGAGGGTTCCCTCAGGTTCTGGAGATCAAACTCAGGTCTTCAGGTTTGGTGGCAAGCACCTTTACCTGCTGTGCCATCTCACCACTTATTCCTTAATTTCTTATAAAAAACATACCAGGAAAATTATCTGGGACCCAGATTCCTTTTTTGTGATCTATTACCATCATTTTTGAAACAGTGTCTTCTGTATCCCAGCCTGGCTCTAAGTTTTGGGTATTGCCAAGGATGACTTTGAACTTCTGCCTCTTCCTCCCTGGGTGTAGGAATACAGGCGTGCCTCACAAGTAGTGCTAGGCAAGTACTCCACTGAGCTGCATTCTCAGCCCTCTTTATGTAGAGTTTTTAAAGTTACAGACTTATTTACTCTGTGTTTGAAAAATACAAAACTAGGGCTGGAGATGGCTCAGTGGTTAAGAGCACTGTCTGCTCTTCCAAAGGACCCAGGTTCAATTCCCAGCACCCACATGGCAGCTCACAACTGTCTGTACAGCCAGTTCCAAAGGATTTGATACCTTCTCACTAATGCACATAAAATAAAAATAAAAAAAACCCCAACAACTTAAAACAGCTGGGTGTCCTGGCGCATGCCTGTAATCTCAGCACTGGGAGGCAGAGGCTGGCAGATCTCTGTGAGTTCAGGCCAGCCTGGTCTACAAAGTGAATCCATGACAACCAGGGATACACAAAGAAACAGTTTCTCAGAAAAACAAAACAAAACAACCGAAAAACAAAATTATAAGCTGGTGTGTGTGTGTGTGTGTGTGTGTGTGTGTGTAATCCCAGCACTCAGGGAGCCAGAGGCAGGTGGATCTCTGAGTTCGAGGATAGCCTGGTCTATAAATCGAAAGATAGAAAGCTGTTCCACTGTTGGATTCCCAAAGCCATACTGGAGAGTTGAGCCTCAGAACGTCTCCTGGAGGGTAAGTTCTGGCTGTGTATAGCAGCTGATGAGAATAGTGTGTCTATACGTGGGATGAAGAGAATGTTCCATATATCCTAGGTCATAAGTGTCAAGGCTTTCCATCTTGCTTCATTCTGTCCTTCATTTTATTAAGTACCTTTTGGCCTGAAACCAAAACAGATTTTTTTTTTCCTTATCCCCTTGTATGAATGGCATAAATTATGCCTGCTTCTGTACTGACACAGTGCCCATGCACCCATCTTCCTAGCCTGTATGTTTTTTGCTGAGATCTCATTCACTGATGATCTTCCTCTTATTCTCATTACTGTGGTTTCTTAAATAAACATCTAATGTTTAATACTATCCTGGAAATTAGACCTGTTTAATAAGGCACATTCTTTAGTACTTTCTCCACTAGTCAATTTTAATTTATCAAGTCTCAATGAGGTTTCTGACGCCTCTGATTGGCTGCCACATGCTCCCCATGTACTAGCTTTCTCCAATTCTGCCTCAGATCTGCTGCTGGATCACTTGTTTCAGCAGCCCCCAATCCAGCTTTCCTCTCCCAGCTACTATGGCTATGTTATGTTGCTTTGGGATTTCTCCTGAGATTGCTTTTACTATGGAAGTAGCCCCATCAAACGAACTTCACTCTGTAAAAACTAATTATTTACAGTCCTGAATAGCTGCTTTGGAGGAGGGACTGAGTGAACTTTCCATCACAGTAGTATATGGGAAGCATTTCCTGTAGTGTGACCATAAACTGATGTACATTTTTGTACTAAACACAACAGATCTCCATGCCCATTATACCTTCAGCTCCCCACCCTACCCTCAATGGACACACTGTGATCATAGTTTAAAGAGGGCTATTTGAGACTTAAAAGGAGCATGAAAAATATGGCATATAATTTGAGAGGAAACATGAATTCCAATTTCTCAGAGACTATAAACAAAGAGTAGCATGCTGTGCTTGGAAAAATACAAAGTTCTTGCAGTTAAAACTGTGGAATACACTTCTGTCAACACCAGCAGAATTGCACTGTACACTCTACTCATCTGAGGAGACAGAATAATCCATTCATTGTATAACATAAAATGTGATGGGTACTCAGGTACTTTAAATGAAGGACTGATTTTTGTCTGTGAGGGACTGTATCTGAATAACCCTATTTCTTTCCTTTGAGGAATACAAAGGTAAGGGTTGAAAGTATTAAGCCAGGGCCTGGGGAGACAGTTCAGTCAGTAAAGCTCTTGTCTTGAAAACTTGAGACAGAACCCACATAAAAGTTGAGTGTGATGGCACACACTTGTAATCCTAGCCACGGTGAGCTGGGAAGTGGAGACAGGTAGATCCATGGAACTCTGGCCCAGTTTACTGGGTGACATTCCATACCACGAGTGACAGGGTCCCAGTCTCAAACAAAAAAGTGATAAGCATCTGCACAGGAGAGACCTCTGACCTCCACACACGTGCCCACCTACATGCACACACCCACACAGCACATGCAGCCCTCTGCATGAACACACACACTCCTATAAAAACAAAGCATTAAGCTGCAAACTTAGGGCCTTATACATGCTAGGCAAGCAGTCTACCACTGAGAGCACACTCAGCCACGGAAAACAATGGAAGTTCTGAGCTCCGAGCGGGCTCATACGAATGAAGAGCCCTTTCTGTGGACCCGCTGGTGGATGTGGAGGTTGGAGCTCTGGCTGAAGCCCTTCCCGCACTTGCTGCACTCGTAGGGCTTCTCCCCAGTGTGCACCCTCTGGTGGATGAGGAGCTTGGAGCTCTGGCTGAAGCCCTTCCCGCACTTGCCGCAGTGGTAGGGCTTCTCCCCAGTGTGCACGCGGAGGTGGATGCGGAGGTCCGAGCTCTGGCTGAAGCCCTTCCCGCACTCACAGCACTGGTAGGGCTTCTCCCCCGTGTGGGTGCAGCGGTGGATGTGGAGGTTGGAGCTCTGCCTGAAGCCCTTCCCACAGTCCCCGCATTTGTAGGGCCTCTCCCCCGTGTGCACACGCTGGTGGATGTGCAGGTTCGATCGCTGACTGAAGCTCATGCCACACTCGTCACACTCATAGGGCTTCTCTCCAGTGTGGACCCTCCGGTGGATGTGGAGCTTTGAGCTCTGACTGAAGCCCTTCCCGCACCTGTCACACTTAAACGGCTTCTCACCTGTGTGGACTGCATGATGGACAAGCAGACTTGAGCTCCGGGTGAAGCCTTTCCCACACTTGTCACACTTGTAAGGTTTCTCATCCATGAGGACCGCTTGATGGGTAAACAGACCCGAGCTGCGGTGTGGGGGGGCAGCCCTTTCCACAATGCTCCCGCCCGCAGGCTTCTTTTAGGTGGTCTCGCTGGTGAAGCATCAGTTCTGAGTTCTGGATGAAGGCCTCACCACAGTGACCACACGTGTATGGTTTCTCTGAAGTGGGGGTTTTCTTGACGAGATGACCATGGGGTTGGTGATGGGCATCCCACCGGAGTCGCCACAGTTACAGGAGCCCTCTGTGTGGTCTCTCTGAAGACTGCAAGGGACAAATGGGGACTTCCATCTACAAACGTCTTTACCGGTACAGTAAAAGGGAACTACAAAGTCTTTGAACTGGATATTTTGGCAAGTTGTCTCAGCAGGGAACAATGGAGGAGCCAGTTCTGTTCCATCAAGACTGAGTTTAACTTAAAGATTCTCTGAATACTGGTCTATGGGATGACCGTCCTTTCTTCCTTTTCTCTCAGTTCTTTCTTGAGTTATAAAGAGGCCTTTTCTCCCCCTGAGGCTCCTTATATAACTTCTCAGAGGGATACTGTCTGTCCATTTGGGTTGGGATTTCAAAGAGAAATATTTTTTCACTTTCAATGTTTATGAAATAATAGTAAAGCATCACCACAATTTGTGGTTTTTATAAGTATGGCAAGATGCTTCTCCCCATTTTTTATTTCAACATCTGTGTGCACTTCTTGAAGATTCACAGTATAAACTCAATTTCCAGGTTCTGACTAGCCAGTTCTTCCAAAATTAGGAAGCCCACTGCAGCAAATCCTGAAGTCTTTTCTCTGTTAAAAAATGTTTTTATTTCATGTGCATAAGTGCTTTGCCTGTAAGTATGTCTGTGTACCACATGCCCTCCTGGTACTGATGGAGATAAGAAGAGGCCACTGGATCATTAGAACTGGAGTTATGGATGCTTGTGAGCCACCATGTAGGTGCTGGGAACTGACTTTGCAAGAGCCATGGGTGCTCTTAGCCTGTGACTCATCTCTCCAGACCTTGAGAGACTTTTTCTTGAAGATTCGCCACAGAATTTCTGTTTGACTCTCCTAGAAACAGAATTTAGTGATAAGAACAAAGGATTCCAGAATAAGAGCAACTAAGGCCTGAACACTTGGTAACTCAAAATTTAGCTTTCTTTTTTCTCCCTCTCTTTCTTTTTTTCCTTTTCCTTTCTTTTCTTTTTCTTGTGGTGCTAGGGATTGAACCAATGACCTCAGCATGTTAGTCAAATAGTCTAGCACTCAGACCTTAGTTTGTGCTTATATCTTTCAGGTTACCATCAGTAGAGAGAAATCTGGGTTCAAAAGACAGGCATTTTTTTCTCTGCTTTTAAGCAGAGCTGATAATATATATAATAGTATATAATATATATTTTTTCATTAAAAGATATAATATATAAACATTATAAAGACATACTATTTATATCTTATAGATAATAGGTTACCTAGTGGGCAAACAGCTGGCTGTTTGGAGCTACAGAGAGGTCATCATGTGACCTTCCGCTTCCATTTCAGAGGCTTTCCTACTGTATCTAACAACTTAGGGGTAGGAAACAGTAATTCACAAGCCGAGAATCATGATACCTTACCTGGAGTCATCTAAACATGGCACAGCCTACCATAGTTTTTTCTACATTGCTTCTGCCCATTCATTTATTTCTATCCATCCTAGGACTTCTAGCCTCAGAACAATTCTCCAGTCCCTTTCTGAAGCATTAGGATGCACCAGGCCATCCCCCTTTCTCTGACATACCTTTGTTATGACTGCCTGTACATTCCTAAAGGGCACGGGTCATGCTCATCTGAGTTGTTTTTTTAAAGATTTATTTATTTATTTATTATTTATACAGTGTTCTGCTTACATATGTAAGAAGAAGATACCAGAAGAGGATACCAGATCTCATCATAGATGGTTATGAGCCTCCATGTGGTTGCACTCAGGACCTTTGTGAGAACAGCCAGTGCTTTTAACCTCTGAGCCATCTCTCCAACCCCTCATTGAGTTTTAAATACCCCAGCAACCAGCACACCAACCTGGACTCTAGCTGGCAAATACTCAGTTTAGGTAATAAGAGGATACAACTAAAAGAGAAGGTAAAAAGCATCATAGTTAACGCCTAATTTTACAGATGAGGAAACAGAGGTCCATGATGATGAAATGACTTTCCCACAATCACAGAGGAGTAAGAGGAGGTTAAGTGGGGATGCTAGCCTTTCAGCAGAAACCAAGGACAAACCCTGGTACATAGAAAAGTACTGGCTAAGTACCGTTAAATTAAAAGAAATTTATCGTGTGTGTTGAGCACATGCTTACCACCGTATGTGTGTGTAGGTCAGAGGACAACCTGAGGGGGGGGTGTTAGTCCTTTCTTTCCATTATGTAGGTCCCTGAGATTGAGTGTTGGTCATCAAACTTGGTGACAAGCACCTTTTATCACTGAGCTTTCTTTCAGGCCCCAAGACTCTCAAATTTTACCATATCGGCAATCAATGACTGTATCAGTGATGAATAAATAATCAATATGGAACAGAAGGATGAGAAGGGAGGAAAACACAGTGAACCAGGGCCTTAGAGATATCAATCTTTGTGGAGTCCTCAGTTACTCTCCAATCCTCAGTACCCTGAGTGAGCTCACCATCCTCTATGTAAACAGATTTTCTCTTTCTGTGGGAGGACTGTATTTGCCAAGCAAAAAAATCTGATTTTGTTGCTGCTGTTAAGAACCACCTCCCCCCAACCCTTTACATCCAGCCTGAACCAGGCATGGTGGCATGTGCCTATATTTCCAGCTACCTGGGAAGTGGAGGCAGGAAGTTACTTTAGTCCACAAGTTTGAGGGTAGCCTGAGAAATAAATCAAGACATCATCTCATTAAGAAGGGGGAGGCAGAGGCAGGAGGATCTCTGTGATTTTGAGGCCAGCCTGGTATACAACAAGAGTCAAAGACAGCCAGGGCTACCCAGAGAAACCCTGTCTTGGAAAAGGAGAAGAAATCAAAAAGAGGAGGAGAAATCTAGCTTAAATCTGGAGTAATGATGTCCTTCCCTCTCTTTCAAGACAGGCTCTTATTATATAGCCCAGGATTTCTCTGTGTAGCCCTGGCTGTCCTGGAACTCACTCTGTAGACCAGGCTGGCCTCATACTCAGAGATCCGCTAGCCTCTGCCTCCGAAACACTGGGATTAAGGGTGTGCATCACCACCCCCGGCTTAAAGAAACCTTCTACATGTGGTTGTATAAAAAAATGAAAGGCTGCTTTTTCTGTACACATATGTGAGTGGAGGCTAGAAGTCAGAGGTCGACCACCAGGGTCTTCCTCAGTCAGTGTCTTCTACCTTGGTGACTGATTGAGACAGGGCCTTTCACTGAAATCGGAGCTTGCTGATGGACTGGTTGGCCAGCAATCCGAAGAGAGTCTGCCTGGGCCTCTCCAGCACTAGGACTACTCTGAGGGCTCAAACTTAGATGCTCATATGTACACAGTAAGGGCTTTATCGAAGCGTTTAGCTTTACTAACTGAACCATCTCCCCAGCCCAAGAAAGTAAGGGAAACTCACCACATGATTTTGATGTACCTTTTTAGGCATAACTTTGTGACCATTGAGTTACTGTTTAATTAAATTCCTTATGCTCAGGGATGGAGAGATGGCTCAGTGGTTAAGAGCACCATCTGCTCTCTTCCAAATGGTCCTGAGTTCAATTCCCAGCAACCACTTGGTGGCTTTTAACCATTTTACTGAGCTATGATGCCCTTTTCTGGCATATAGGTGTACATGCAGATAGAGCACTCATATTTAAAATAAATCAACCTTAAAAAAAAAATAAAGTTCCTCACTTTCCCAGTTAACAATGATCACTGTTAACACAAACCTGTCAGTTGCTTTCTTGTAGCTGTAACCAAAATACCCGAACAAACTACTTGAGGAGAAAACATTGATTTTGAGTCCTAGTTGTAGGTTTCACTCCATCATGGTGGGGCATTGTGGGAAGCATGCTGTTTAACTCATGGCAGGCTTAAAGTAGGGCAGAACAGGAAAGAGTCAGGGCCAGATAAGACTGCCAAGGACCAGCTTCAACCCAGTGATCTACTTCCTCTAGCCAGGCTCCGCCTTCCACAGTTCTACCACCTTCCAATAGTCTCAAATTTTAATCCACTAAGGAAACACTCATGAGGCTAGAGCCCTCATGATCTCATCCAACACTCTCTGCAAACATCCTCATAGAGTCAAGAAGTGTCCTTCACTACCTCCTAGGAATCTCTCAATTCAATGATCAGTCAAGGTTAACCCTAAAATGCATATTTGTTTGTATATACTTCATCTGTTCACCAAGAAGATAAATTCTCTGAAGCAAAAGCTTCAGTTTATATTCTTGTTTTCCCACTTAGTATCAGACCGGGCATATAAAAACTTTGAATGATCTACAACAATCTACAGTTTTGATCCTGTACTTGGTTGCCAACTTCTAACACTATTGGGAGGAGGTGAAATCTTTAGGAGGTAGAACCTAGTGGCAAGAATTTAGGTCACTAGTGTTATGCCCTTAAAGATGATATTGGAGTTGGCATGGTGGCACTCCACAGGGCTCCCAGAACTCAGTGAAGCTGAGGCAGGCAGATCTCTGTGAGTTCGAGGCCAGCCTGGTCTACAAAATGAGTCCAGGACAGCCAAGGCTACATAGAGAAACCTGCCTATATTGGAATCCAGCTCTCCTCCCACCCCACACCCTCATGGGGTGAACAAAACTGTTTCATGGGTCCACACCGGGTCAAGCGATGATAGACTGAAACCACTGAACTGGAAGCAGAAATCTTTGCTCCTTCCAAACTCACAACCTTAGGTAGTTTGGTCTTAGCAATGAAGAGGTAACACATGAGTGAAATGTCTGATAGGAGAAAGCTGTCCAGGCAACAGGGCAGAAATGCTCGGTAGAGTCTTCCAGTAGCAGAGCTTGGTTGGATGTTTGAGGAGTGATCCGCATGGTGCCAAGGCAGTGTGGTAAGAACTAATGTGTGACTTCCCACTCAGCAGACACTGATGCTGAACCCGTTTCCTAAACATAGAATATTTTAATGCCCCAATGCGCTTGTTCCCTTTTGTGTAAAATACCCACTCCTGGGCTGGAGAGGTGGCTCAGAGGTTAAGAGCACTGGCTGTTCTTCCAAAGATCCTGAGTTCAATTCCCAGCAAGCACATGGTGGCTCACAACCATCTATGAGATCTGGTGCCGTCTTCTGGCCTGCAGGTATACCTGCAGAACACTGTATACATAATAAATAAATAAATAAATAAATAAATAAATAAATAAATAAATAAATAAATAAATATAAAAATACCCACTCCTACAATGAAGCTTGTCAATAAAGAGAAAAAAAAATACAGGATACATGATCTGACTCTAGGAAGGTACTTAATGCTGTCCTATTTTGTTCTAAGAAAGAAAAGATGTGTCTAGCTCAGAAATGAGGCATTTTTGGTGAAAGAACCTCCACGTCACCTGGACCTTGGTCATAATCTCAGCAGGGGCAGAATCTTCCAAAGATAGTTCTCTAAGACGTGCCCATCTCCTCCGATTTCCCTATTTCTGTTCTGACGTCCTGGAGTAGGCGTTCCCAGGTTCTGCGCATCTTTTCTCTTGCGTGTATTCCAGCTACCTAATATCCTTCGCCTGACCGTATTCTCTGATATCTAAGTGGTTTCTAGGATGCTGGGGGCAGTGCTGCGCAGGGCAAACCTCAGTACCCCTGGGGATCTCTTAGGGGTCTGTCTCAGGAGCCCCGCGGGTCTCCTGATGTCCACCAACACTATCTTTGGAAAAAGGCCAAGTCACTCTAACGGAGCGGAGAAGGCCAACAACTTAGTCCTCGGACCCACCCAGGCCAGAGCTTGGCCGAGCAAGCGGAGGGTGTCTTCAGAGCCGCAGTTTGGTGTGCGGTAGGGGCCTGGCCTTCCTAGGGTGGCCTTGTCCCGGGGCGTGACTTGGGGTAACGCGGCTGCTCGCACGTGGGGCTGCAGCGGGAGGGCGGGTTCCCAGCCTCTGAGCCTGGTTCAGAGTGGCAGCACCCCTCATCTGGACCAGGACACCGCTGCCCGCCCCTGGGGCAGCCCAGCCCTGCTCACCTCTTGCGTAGGTAGGACCCACACCTGGTAACGCAGGACTCCTGGGCTTCATCGAGGACTCGAACTACAAGTCCCAGCAGACCGCGGGCGGTGAAGCGCTACTTCCGAGCCCACTTCCGGCGACGATGGGTCACCAGGACTGTTCTGAGCCCATAGCTTGTGGCTAAGGGTGGTTCGAGTCTTTCTTTATACTGTTCCTTGCAGATATATACGAGTTTCATAATACTCCCCAAGGTATTTTTCACTTGTTAAAATGATGCGGGGAGGGAAATAACCAGTACAATATTGTCTTCAACCTTAAAAAATATTCTGAAACTACTACTCTAAGCGAGAAGTGTGGTGTAATCTCTGCATGTAATCTCATCACTAGAAGATGAGGCTGGAGGACGGTGGGTTCTAGAAGCGCATGTCAAATAAGAAAGAGAGAGGGGAGAGAGACAGAGACAGAGAGCGACAGAGACACAGGAGGGGTTAAGGGTAGGGGAGAAGAGAGGAGAGGGAGGAGAAAGGGAAGAAGTAGGGAGAGGGGGAGAGAGGAAGGGGAGAAAGGAGAGAGGAGAATTGATCGCCGGATATTTCATGTTCTTATCTGTGGAGTATAGTTTCCAGATCTGTACTGTGAAGCTCACAGACGCCTGTAATTCTAACCCCAGGGAACCCAACACCCTCTTCTAGCCTCAGGCACCTGTATTCACGTGCACAAACCTAAACACACATAAACTTAGAATATTTTTAAAAACTAAGAGTAATGTATTTGGATTTAAAGAACTAAAAAAGTGGATCATAAGCCTGGCTTAGTAGATCAATAGACTCCCAAGTTAAATATATATATTGGCTTTTTGAGACCGGGTTTCTCTGTGTAGCCTTGGCTGTCCTGGACTCGCTTTGTAGACCAGGCTGGCCTTGAACTCACAAAGATCCGCCTGCCTCTGCCTCCCTCCCTGGGTGCCAGGATTATAGGCACGTGCCACCATGCCTGGCTTAGAAAATATATTTTAAACAGACACAGGAATTGATGCCATTGAATCTGAAAGAAAAGGTCAACAAAGTTCTAAGGAACTGGCAGTATTATATGTAGTTTTCACTTACCGAAAGGACTTCAGAGTGTTTTCCTAGTGTGTGCAATCGCCTCCCAGAAGGGTCGTTAGGTAAACCTGTGTCATGCATGTCCAACCTGTAGCCCACATGTGCCCCAGGAAAGCTGAGAATTCAGCCTGACACAAAAATCATAAACCTCAAGCTGGGGGTGGTGGCTCATGCTTGTAATCCCAGCACTCAGGGAGGCAGAGGTGGCAGGATCTTTGTGAATTCAGGCCAGCCTGATCCACAAAGTGAGCCCAGGCTACAGCCCAGCCAAGGCTACACAGAGAATCCCTGCCTCGAATAAAGCAAACACAAAAAAATAAAAATATTTTTTGTAATTTCACTTGTGAGTATTGTATTTACATAAATTTCCTTCCCTTCCCTTCCTTCCTCTTCCTTCCTTCCTTCCTTCCTTCCTTCCTTCCTTCCTTCCTTCCTT